CGGTTCCTTATTTATTTATCGCCATAACATGACATTAAATCGTCATGAATCATGAATCATAGAATCATAGTCATGAGTCATGAGTCACAGTAACATGGTCAGGTACAATTGTCAATGGTCTGTGTGATTTGATTGACTTCTGATGAAATTTTATACGGGCGATATGGGCTGCCTTTAGTTTCGGGCGGTTTAATTTTCATTCTATTCATATCTAGAAAGGGTGGTGTAGACACAGCCATATCATAGAACATGGATTTGGGGACGGGTCATGCCGATGCATGCTGGCTAGGTAAAACACGGGCACCAAGGTAGCACGGCTTACGAACAATTGACAGTACAATTCAGATTCAGATTCATAGTCTACCATTTCGTCGTTTTACAGAAAGAACAGAATCATATCTATATATAATATATATAGATTCTGTTTGCAAGAATCTAATGATACGTTATTAAATGAACAGCACAACACATCAAAAACAAAATTTTTACAATACTATGACTAACTTAACAAAAAAATAGAATACTATGGCATGTAATTAGTTAGTAATTAGTAATTAGTAATTACATAATAGAATCTAATAATATAACTCAAATATAATATAATAATAATTATAATTTATATATAATGTTATATTATTATATAATTATGTTATAATTATAATTTTATATAATCATCATATAATATAATAATTTAATATAATATATATAACTATAACTTATATAACAATATAATAATATAATTATATAATATAATAATATATAATATATTATTAACTTAAACATAATATAATATAATTAGCAAAACATAATATAATATAGTATATTCTATTATATTTATATTTTGTTTATAATATGATAAAATACAAGATGCAAAAATAACATATAATATAATAATAATATAATAATAATATAATAATATATAATATAATATTAATAATATTAATAATAATAATATAATAATAATATAATAATTATCAATATCACCTCCCATATAATATCAGTATCACATTTAATATCACCTCCCAGGTGTGGTGGCGTCCAGAACACAGTCATGAACGACATCCTTTGCCGATTTGAAGTCATGGACACGATGGGGTCTCTGTATCTGCAGTATGCATTCGTGACTGCATGTTCAGCGCGTTCCGGAACCAACCAAGCACAGCAGGTGTTTGTTTGTCTACATCCAATCAATTGGGATGTTGAGCTTCAGAATGAGATGCAAAACAAATCAGGTTTATGCGGCATGGTTCTTGACTTACAAGCATTGACCTACTTTGATTTTGGGGACTCGGGCCATTTCCCACGGCAGCCAACTTCAGCTGGTCGGTTGCGCATGTTTACATCAGATCAATTTGCAGCATTTCTTTTGGATTTACCGGTCAAGATAGATTCAACTTTGGATGCTGTGCAAGTTACTGCCCACCTTATCCATTACAAGGATATATTGCCAAGTAGGGTCGTGCTGATTGGGGCAAATGAGTCGTTTGGTGCCATGATTGCAACCCCTGAAACGTCTCCCGCCATCAGTGGAGAGGGTGATCAAGATGAAGCTGATGATCCAGCGGATGATCAGGGTGAGGGTGGACAGGGTGAAGAGTCCCAAGAGTTTGATTTGTTAGCTTACCTCGAGATGACAAGGGCCTCAGAACCCAAGCCTAAACGAAAAAAGACACAACAGGCGAAGAAACAGGAGACCACAAAAGAGTGTAATGATGACCACAAAAGAAATGATCCGATATTGGATGACCCATCCCTTTCAACTTTTCTGTCGCAGCATGACATTGCAGCCCTGAAAAGCGCACGTGATCAATGCCAGATGATGACCGGTGAGGTACATGAATGGATTGCTGGTGAGGGAGTGGGTTCAGGTGAGTCGGAGTGTGATTTTGAGGATGTTGCAACATTACATGAGACTTCTGACGATGCTCCAGCGGCTGGATTAACGTCCTCATCCAGTCGTGCGTGCCCGTCGGATTCTTGTTATTGTTATTTATAGAGAGGTTATGTTGTTTGCAAGTGTGGGTCAGATCTTCCTTCAAGTCAGGCGTCTAAACAGTCAACATTGTTTACACCTGTGACTTTCTGATTAATAGCGGAATGTGTGTGAAGAGTTTTGATTTTGATATGACCGTCAAACCGATGAAACGCTAGATCTCACATTACACGCCATGGATGGATTTTGATTTTGACATTTCAATTCTGATTCCAGCTTGAAGCTATAGGAGTAAATTATTAATTTGTGATTATTTATCATTTATAACTTACTTATAATTTATAATTATATTATATTATATAATTATTGACTATGATATGACTTGATATGATATGTGATATGTGATATGTGTTATGATATAACTTGATGTATAACTAACTGAACAACATTATAATTTAATCCTTTTATAATATATTGTATATAATATTTTTTTAAATTAAATCTATTTATATAATTAGAACTTATAGCTCAATTACATGTTAAGTATCATACAATCAAATCACATCATAATCATATAATCATATACTACATAATATCATATATAAATTATATATAAATATACAATTTATATTATATTATAATATAGTTATATATTAAATTATATCAAATCATATCTATTAAATTATATTTATCATATATTGTATATCAATTCAATCTTGCAATTATATAGTCTATAGTCTATAGTCTTAGTCATTGTATGATCTGATATGATATGATATGATGTGATTCTATGATTATGATATGATGATTGCATAATATAACAAATATATATTTCATGATTATATGATATTATATTATGATATTGATGTATGATGTATGTACTTTATATAACAATCAAATCATATCATATCACTTCATATCATATCAAATTGAATCATATCTATGGACCAGGACCATATCATATCGTATGAGATGATCAATTATTATTATTAATATTATTATTATTATGATTCTGATGATATTGTCATGTTATGTTTTTATATTATTAACTTATGTTTAATGAAATGTCATTCATGTTATGTTTATAGCCGCTTTTGCCCAGGACCCTTCAACGGAAAGGTCGGCAACCGCTACACCTATGACAGATGCTGTCTCCGCTATGCCAGAAGTTGGGAGCAGTGTGACGCCGGGAACGGATGCTTCAAACACCAGTTCGAATCCCAAAGCCCAAAAAGTTGATGTGAAAACTCTTGGGGTTGACCCTGATGGAAGCATTGTACAGGTCAAACAATTGGGTTCTTCAGGGACCATTTCCGAAGTCTTGTATCAATCTGGGCCTAAGACTGTGAGTTTGGGCACAGTGAACATTTTAGTGGACAATAAGACTGGAAATACCACACTTCGCGCACAGTGCAAGAAGCATTCCAAATGCATTTGCTGGATTTCCAGTTCGAGTAATGTAGATGTTTTGTTGGATTGGCTGGCCGAAGGCCGTAGAAACAATCATGATTCACATTTGAATTTAGCACGTGAATTTAAAAAGGGCCTGGGGATGAAAGTCAGAAAATGACAGCAACATCTCAAAACAATTTAGTGCCCACAGCAGTTGAAGTTGGGGAGGTTACCTAGACATCGTCACATCGTGGTTGTCTAAAAAGAACAGGTCCGTGTCAGCGCACAGGGCCATTCGCCAGGGTTTGTGTTTCGGGCAGCTGGGTTTTCAACTTCAGGAAGCTCAAATCATCAACAGTTTGGATTGGTTGGTTGGGATAAGTTACATCTTGCAAGTTCATTGTATGTTTTATGATTCATGATTTTTGACTCATGACTCATGATGATGATTCATGATTTATGATTCTATGATACCATGTTTTTTGATGTATGGTTTGTGATGGTAATTTATGGTTCATGATCAACGGTCAATGATCAATGATACACTGAGCAATTCAATGATGATGATAATGATAATAATAATGACAATGAGTTTTGATCATTGAGATAAATCATTCATTGACAATTGATTGATAATATAATACACTTGATAAATTGTTCATTGACATTGATCATTGATGGATGATTGATATAATAATATTATTATTTATTATTTATTATCAATTCATAATAATATTATTAATAATTATTATTATTTATTGACTTATTGACATTGATGATATTTGATGATGGATATTATTTTATTAATATGATTCAATGATTCAATGATTCATGATTCATGATCAATGAGTCAATGATCCATCAATGAAATATGGTTCATCATAATTCATGATTAGTGGTTTGCAGTTATTTATAAATTTAATTATTATGGGTTTAGGAATTTATGATTCATGATTCATGATTCCATTCCTGATTTATTTGTGTTTGATGGTGAACTTAAATTGTTCTTTCAGATGATTTATGATATGATATGATATGATTCGTGATATGATAAAAAATGATTCTATGATCAATGACTTTTGACTCATAGAAACATCAAACGGGATATCTGGGAGTACATTTTGGAGCCTCAAACGGGACAATTTTGGAGCCTCAAACATGACAATTTTGGGGGCCTCGGACGGGACATTTTCCGGAAAAATTATACTCCTTAACTCCGGACTTAAGGAGTATAATTTTCCCAGAAAATAAGGAGTATAATTTCGTTTTCTGCAACAAAATAGGTGATTATACTCCTTATCCACCCGGAAAATTATACTCCTTAAGTCCGGGAGTTAAGGAGTATAATTTTTCCTGAAATCGGGAATTTTTGGGCCTGAAATTTGGCAATTTTGGGGCTTCAAATTTGGCAATTCCTGAAATCTTTTGGAGTTGAAATTTGGCAATTTCTGGGATTGTTGACAAATTGTTGAGATTGATCGTTGACTTGTAGCATTTTCTTGCGCATAGCAGTCCCAGTTAGGCCAGATTCATAGACTTGTGTTGCGGCATTGGACTCATGGCATCCCAGTCACCATCTACCCCGATGTCGAAAGCCTCTACCTTGCCTCTCTCTCCTACACCTAGACTTCGACGTGGTTTTGCATTTGTGGGTTCTCCGCCACAGACACCACCAATGAAAGGCAAGAAGAGCAAGGCTTCATCCCCCAAGTCTCACACGTCTGGTACTCCCAGTTCCTCTTCCAAGAAGGGACCCAACAAGACTGTGCGCAAAACCGTGCTGAAGGTCAACTCCCCGAAGAGTCCAAAGACATCATCCCCGAAGAGTCCAAAGACATCCTCCCCGAAGAGTCCAAAGACATCTCCCAAGAACCAGGAGAAAACACCCAAGAAGAACCAGTCACCTAAGACCAAGATGTCCCCAGGTATGAAGAAGCCATCGGCCAGCATGAGCCCGATGAAAGGGTCTCCCCGTTTGAGTTTGAAAGACAAGGTGAAGAAGGATAATTTTCAGAACATCTTGGCAAAGATCTACAATGAATATGACGACATGAAGCAGTATAACAAGAGCTTCAATTGCCCGCCTAATTGCACTTGGGCAGTGTCTCTGGGATCCAAAGGGGATGATGTGATGTGTGTTGTATGGGATGATTACGGTACGGATTGAATACGGAATACGGTATCGGCGGTATCGGCGTATCGATACGCACGGTTTGGTATACGGTATATTATATACGGTATGGTATACGGGTATGTATAAGGTATACGGTATACGGTATACGGTAAACGGTATGGTATGCGGCATACGGTTCGTATGTGGGATAGCTGGTTATGAGTCAGTTATGTTACTGTTTTGTTACGTTGTGTGAGGTTAAGTTCTGTTTAGTTTGTTGCATGCAGGAATGAAATGAAAGGTTAAGTTATGTTATGTTATGTTATTCTATGTTATGTTTGTTTTGATATGATTTGGTTTGATGTTATGACAATGATTGTGTTTCGATGGGATTGATATGATATGATATGATTCTGATATATGTTTCGATTCATATGATATTATATGATGAAATTAAAATTATAATATAATTTATGATTCTATGATGATGATTTGACTACATCTGTCCCTCATCATTTGTATGAAAAGTATGAAACAGATTCAGATACTGACTCATACCATCTAAACAATCTTTATTATAAATTTCAATTTGTTATTTTTTTTATTATTTACTCATATCCCCATGGCATCAAATCGTATCATGTTCCACCAGATCATAAAATATTGATTCGGGTTACATCTATGAACTCGTGCTTATGTTATTTATTTCCCCCACATGTATCATACATTTCATATCGAATCATATCATATCAAGTAATTTACAATTTATAATTCATAATATCACATATCATATCATTTTATGGGTTGTCATATTTTGAGGTTCATTTGTATGATCTAACTTGTTTGACATTGACATTGACATTGACATTTGACTTTGATATAGCCACATTGGTGAGTGATATAGTCTAATAAAATTATGTTATTTATAATTTATTGTTGTCTAGTCTATAATTATATTTATAATTATTATTAAATTAAATTATATATATTGAATTATACTGATCTTGTTTTCCTTCCTCCATATGATCCTGCACCCCTACAAGGTTTTGGCGCTCGGAGCTTGAGAATCGCGGCTGGCAGTGCTCGGTGGCCGCAAAGCCGCGCGATTAGTCGAAGTGGGAGAAGGTTCGTCGTGGTGACGCTCAGGGTTGCTACACCGAATCCGAGGACGAGTACAAGTCCAAGTGATACGGGTTCGGCCGCATGGGCCGCATGGGTGTCTGACTCAATAGATGTCAGCACATGGCTCAGCATACATTACCTACCGCTTTTCAAGTTCTTGTAGGTATTGCTAGCCAACTCCTCGATGCCTCCCAGCGTTGGTTTTGTTTCTTTCATTCTTTTCCAGTTGGTGTTGGCTGTGTGATGAAAGCTCTGAATCGGCACGCCGAGGGTTCTTTTGCAAATCATCATGTTCCAAATTGGATTAATTAATTACAGTAGATGTGATGTGGAATAATAGCCTGATGGGTGAAATAGGGATCGCGAGCCTACACTGATTCTATGTATGATTTTTGCAAATGAATATGAACCTGATCCATACACAACAAAGAGGGCTATTAAGGATATTATTGTGTTGTCAGAGCGGTCTCTAGAATAGCCTATGTAGCTGCCATGTAACTGCCTTGCGCAGCCCCGTGCCAAGTTGCAAAGCCGAAGCATTTGCAGATAGTGGCAAACTGTCAGGTGAAAGAGCGAGAAAAACTCAAGAGCTGCTTTTCCTCATTCTGATTCTAATTCTCTATGTTTGGTTTTCTGTCAGGTTGGCTTTGCAAGTCTGGAATTCTTGCTTCTTATCCTTCCTGTATTTGTGTTTTCCTTCTAGCTTCCCAAA